GGGAAAAAACAGTTGCGTAAACAATTTTATTTTCGTATCGAAAATCATTCTTTAAAAAATGGATTGGAGGCTCTAATTTACAGAAATGATGAAAGATGGAGTGAGTGCGGTGTTCAATCTTTTTTTTAAAGATAGTTCCTACTCACAGTAAGTTTTTTAGAGAATTAATTAGTTGTAGGAATTCTTTGAGATCCTCTAATGTTCCAGACCATATGCATAAAATATCGTCTACATAGCGTTTCCAAAAATGAACAGATTTAATTAATTTATTCTTTGATTTGAAAAGATTTTTTTCCGAAATTATCCATCAATATTTCGGCATCAAGTGGGGATAATGGAGACCCCATTGGTAGCCCTTTTATTATTATTGAATTTACAATAATTAGACAGTAGGCATATATTTAAGAGTTCTATTATATCATTTTTTACAAATTCGTTAATAGAATTCTCGGTAAGTTTTCGTTTTATGAGTTTAGTACGTTCTTCAACGGGGATATTTATAAATAAATTAGTAACGTCAAATGACACTAAAACACAGTTGTTGGGTATATTGATGTTATTTAATTCTTTTATCAATTCAAAAGAATTGTTAATACCGAATGTAGGTTTTTTAATTATTTTGTCAATTGTACTTGCAAGTTTATGGCATGGGGAATTATAAAAGGACACTACTGGTCTTATAAGTTTGTTTTCCTTGTGAATTTTGACTGTGCCGTATTATATTGGGGGTTTTGGGTTCATTGGTATTAGTTTTTTAACTGCATATTGGTCATCTGAGAATAAAACATCACTATTTTTTATGGCTGTTTGAACTCTAGTTTTTAATTTTAAGGTGGGATCTTTTTGTATTTCTTTACACTCGTTATAATTTAGGAAATCCTCCACTTCAGAAACGTAATTTTGATATTCAATGATAACTATACTATTTCCTTTATCGTCTTTTAAAATAACGTGTGTGGAGATTAGTGACCGTTAATCGATAGTTATTCAGATATCGTGAGATGCGGTCGGGTGTGATGTTGGTTTCAGAAAAACATTTTCTTTATTGTGCCGACGTTTCGATCTTTTATTGAGATCATCTTCATCTTTTTCACTTCAAAGAAGCCGACGCCTTACACAAAATTGTCTTTTCTATACCGACTTCCTTCCCCACCCCTTCAAAACCAAACATATATAAATATAAACAGCAAAATCTCACTGGCACTCTCAACACGACACGCAAGGATGGCACAATTACACAGAAGACAAACACTTTGAGTGAGTAGAAATACTTTGAGTATAAAAAATATATTTTGCATTGTGTAAATTCACTTTTCCACATCCAACATGGATTTGTTAAATGTAAACAATGTTTGTAAATCCCAGGCCCTGAAGATGATCTCAATAAAGATCGAAACGTTGGCAGGATAAAGAAAATGTTTTTCTGAAACCTACATTACACCCGACCTCATCTCACGATATCTGAATAACTTTTAAATAACTTTTAAAATAACGTTGTTGTTACTTACATTGAATAGGAACTATCTTTTTTTTAAAAAGGCTCTAATTTACTCTCAGAAAACTTTTGTTTTCAACTTTCATCTTTCCTCTCAGTTTGTTTTATTCTCTCGTGAAAGTTGTGTCGCAAAATGCCTCCTCTTCCAAAATAGAAAAACCCGTCCTGACCCTTCGTGAAAGAATAAAAATTTTGGACATGTTAAATTTTTTACATTTTTTATGCACGCCAAAGCTTTTCTTCAAAACAGTTCAGGGAAATTTTAACCTTGAGGCACCTATTTAAGGTTGAACAGCAGTGGATTTCGACCCATCTTTAAATCAAAGTTTTAAGTTTGAAAGGGATGTCTATGCCGCTTCAAATCTTTATGTTGAAAGTTTTTTAAAGAAATTAATTATTCAACGAAACAGCGAACAATTACTAGTTATTTCTATCCTTGCACAGTAAAAATATACGAACAATGAAAACAATTAACATGTTCAAACATTGTTATGTCTTCTATTACGTTTATTTTGAATACACTTTATTTTTAGTTCTGAACTGTATCTCAATTTTCAGCGTCACGGAACGTAACCCTCCGTAGGAAAATAAACTCAACATTCACGGCAGTTTTCTGAAACCAAACACCCGCGAATGTTAAGGGATTACTGTATTTTATTATTTACCCAGTGATTAAAAACAGAGAAAACAAATAAATTTAATCGAAGAAATTAAATTACATGAGACCTGATGAAAGAGTATACGGTCCTTGGCAAAGTTGGGACGGTCTTCAAAGAAATTTGAAATCATCAATATAAACTTAATTATGTCCATTTGCAGACATATTTGTTGGTTGTTTCGCCCTGATAATGACTTTAAAACAAATCGAAAGCTTGGCAGTAACAACTGAAATTGTTTTTTTCGTTCAGATTATTCGTGAGTAGAAAAAGTGGTCGATTCATCTCTACAAAAAATTTAAAAATTATTTTCTTTTTTATTTTATTTAATCCTATTTGCCCTAGTATTACAATATTACAAGAACCAGTTAAAACTGATCATAAAACGCCACCAAGCATACAGTCAGGTTTGTCCACTCATAGATTAGAACATTATTCTATTTCTTTTAAATGCTGATTAAGATAATTTCTCCCCCTCTTGGATCTAATATTGAAACATTTCCTTCCATTGTCTTTTTTTTGTAATATAACTGCCGAAAAATACGACAAATTTGAGTACAGAACATTGACACAATTTTGGTATCTCAAGTGCGAGTGAACTTATTATATAACCGAAAATGGATGGCCCAATTTGTTACGTGATTTAAAAAATTTAAAGTGTTTTGTGAAACTCTTGAAAAGCCCATTTTTAGGTATGTTGGATTGGAATACAGGGCCACTGGATTTGAACCCGGGGACCTACCGTGATGAAACTGGGCCAGCGCCTTAACCATTGCAGCCTTTGTGAATGGTGAAGGGCCGTTTTAATAATTCCAACTTTGACAAAAGCTGCTCATCCTAAATAAACTACATCAAAATCACCAAAATCTATAATTATCATTGCTTGTTAGTTTTTATGTGTTCATTACCAAAAGTTTATTGGTTTTTTTTAGATTTTAAAGGGATAGACGGTAATGGTTAAAGATACACCTAAAATAAATAGAGAAGGAAAGAGAAAGAGAGGGTGAGAGAGAGAGAAAGAGGGAGAGAACGAGAAAGAATGATAGAAAGAATGAGAGCAAGAAACCAAACTATCACATTAAAGTAGGTTATTCGTGGTATACTTACACTGAAAGTAGCATGAAACAAACAAATAAATAAATAAGATCAAGAAAAGATTATTTCAATTTGTTATCCCAATTGTTAATACAACATAGATTAGTGGTCGCCCAGCATATAAGAAAGGTCACCAGAAACCTTATAAAAAAATTAAAAATCAAGGCAATAGGGGAAAAATGAACTTAACTATGATTAGTCCATATCAGTTGACGCATCGTCAACACTCAGGTTATATTAATAAATATGCAAATTCATGAAAGAAGAAACAGATTAAAGCTCCTAAAAGAATCATAAATCCTTTGCAGGATAAATACAGTCTATCTGATAAAATAAAACCAAAATTTCAATTCAGCTATTCCCTCAATGAAAAATTATTCGAACAATAAAAGTCAAGAATATCAAAACGTTGTTCTAATGGTACACCGATCAGGTTGGAACAATGAATGAGAGTTAAAAGGATCAAATTTCTCTATACCGAGACTTTTAGAGACCAATCATCCAAATTGACGAACATGCAATCAAACTTTGCACAGGAAAATTTAAAAAATTCTAAAAAGTGCTTGTTTTGTTCCGCTAAGTTTATCTAAAAGACCTAACGTATAATACAAAATCAGCCAATATTGCATTAGATCACAGTGTACAGGAAGATTGTAAAACCACCCGGAGACACTATTTTAAAAAAAAATGTTACAGTTTCAATAAATAATTGTCTGTTTATATTAATTTGTTCAAAATTACGTCATCGAATGGCCCAATTGTGCAATATATCAGTATATGATCAATAACATAATGTTTGAGTAAACGAGATAATTGACTAATCTGTTCGTGACTGATGGACTATTAGTAGTATTCAAATGTGAAGGAAATTATAATGGGATAGAGTTAAACAATAAATGCAGTTTGATAATGGCAGTTGGATAATGTGACATACATTACATTATGCACACAATAAACCTAATCACTCACCAACTCATAGAGAAAAGCTTATTAGAATTCACAATTGGTTTAACACATTCAAATCCAATATTCAAATTCCTATGATAATTATAACATTAGCCATAAATATGAGTGATCAAGTTATTGATTTTTACAAATATTTTTTAATTCAAAGGACTACCCTTCCAGCAATAAATTTGCAAGAAACTATTTTATTATTCAAATTTTTAACTGCACATTAATCTTTTTGTTTTATCAACATTATAAGAATTTGAAGTATATTATTAAAGGTCGGCCTCTTTTTGACTTTACGCACCGCGACCAATTGCGAAAAGTATACTCTATGTTACAATGATTTAAGTACACAAAAGCCTTGTAATCATAATAAATATTTTAATATAAAAGAAAAATATCTTTAAAAAAATGGTGAAAAAATGTCACTGATAAAAAAATAAAACTTTTCTATTAATTACACTAAATATTTGAGAAATAATCTTTGGTTTAATTCTCTTGGTTACTAATTCAATCTTTAATTAAAAATACTAATTTATAACAAATAACAATAGTCATTTAATAATATAGTAGGGCCCAAATTTCTTAACGTTTCATACTAGTAATATTAAACAATATGAAGCGTGTAATCGTGTACATATCAGAATGTATTAATTTTAATGAACTTATTTGTTATTTGATATTTTATTGATATTTTCTTTGTAAAACTATATCAATGAAAAATGCAACAACAAAAATCAAATCATTTTTAACAGTAGTTGGTGTCATTAGGAAATTTTCTAGTTATTTTATTCAAAATGCTATTTTCATTTTACATCTTTTTAATGATCAAATACTAAAATTTATTTTTTAAGTTGAAAAAATTGTTTAAGTTCTAACAAACCTAGTGTTAAAGAACAGTGTTCAATTTTAATAATAGGAACTGATTGAAGATTTTATTTCTTATTTATGGGAGATATTTTTGCTGACGAATTAAAACACCTAGATATAATCAAATTTATGGAACTTTTCCATGAATGAACTTAAGCACAATCACAAGCATCTTGGAAATTCTCTTTTCAATGATTTTCTTGTAATCACTTCTTCAAGTATTTAAAATCGTGGATATACGCAGAGCTACTAACATTTATAATTATCCTACATTCCGGGGCTCTTTATAAATATTTTACATTTGCTATATTACACAATAAATAATCCCAGAATCTGGTTCAAATATATAGGCCAAATATATGATGACAGTCTGTATTCCTTCCTTTTTGATGATTTGATTAAGCAGTGAGGCCAGTTTTCCAATTGTTACCGAGTACAAGATCCAAATTAAGCTCTTCGTTCTCTGGAAGTCTTCCAATTCTGTAACTTTCCATCAGTGATAATGATACATCAGCGTGGCCAGCTTCTTGGAATGCAATGGTCGCGTCTCTCCCTCCATTCTCCACCAACACTTCCAACCCACCTGGATGCTAAAAAAGTTATTTTAGTTTTTAGTAACTAAACTCTATATTACTGCTCTATATATGTTATATAACTAAGTCAAACTTGGATAAGCTTGAGTACATGATTCCATGATTTGATGATGTTTTTAACATTAAATAGATGGACTTGATAAACAATCTGAAAGCATTTTATTTATTAGAAATATTTAAATTCCTTACCCAAAATTTAAATTTTATGTTATAGGCTAAATGAATTTGAAGAAAAAATAAAACTGGACAGGTTGTAAAAATTCTAGGCTGTTGTAAAAAAGAAAAATCAAAGACAGAGAGAGAAATTCCAGATTATACTTCTTTTTTTAAATAATTTAGACCAGCTTTAAAATAGTTTTATTTAAACAATTTACAATAATAAATAAATTAGTTGTTTGGTTATTTATGGGCATCTAGGGGATGTGACTAGCCTTAAAGGTATGGTCTGTCAGATATATTTGCTATAATTAAATATTAATTTAATTGTGGCTTTTTCCTTATTCTTATAAAATAATAATAATAATAACATATCTTTTGGGTTACTAACTAAAGTTCTGAAAATGAAAAAGCTGATCAACAGGCAAGGAACGCTGCAAACCATCCACAAAGAACAGATCAATTTCCTCTCCGCCCAGATGATATAGTCGTTTATGTTAAAACGAACGTATTATCCAACGAAAGTGGGCGGCAAGATGGAATGTCTGTAGAGATAGTTTGAAAGAAATTAAGCCAGTTGTCCATAAATGGCCAACTGAGGAATTTGAGAGAAAAGAACTTGTGATTCTCTCTAGATTGCGAATAGGTCATATCAGGTTAATCCATAATAGGCTTTTAATCGGCAACAACTTTCAAACTTGTCCTCGATGTATGCGAAGTGGAGAACGTATCATTGTGACAGTAAAAAATATTTTGGTCGACTGTCGCAAAGGCTCATCCTTTCGAGTGATTTACAGGAGTTAGTGGGTCCCTATTGTTCCTTTCGAGCACTTTTCAGCTTTCTCAAATTTATTGGAATTTATAATGAGATTTAGGCCTTTCCCAAATTGTTATACCATTAAATATTTGCCTGCTAATGTTTGAATGAGAGTTGTGCGTGAAAGATTTCTTTCTATTTTCAGAAATTTTTGAGGCTGCCGGAGCAGAAAAATGAAATGGAAGAAAATACAAATTGCGGGGTAATAAACTGCAATTCCCAAAAATTGCAATTTAAATAAGAAAGTTAGCTTAAAAAAAAAGTGTTATTGTGTTTATGTTTCTTATTATTGTTATGTAGCATTTTTATCTATCAAATTTACATGGAAGAATAAAAGGATAAGGATGAGCCTATACTCATGCTGAGACTGCTGCTGTTCTGACTCCATTATTATTATTAGCCATACAAGCCTACGGGAAATGTTTAAATTATGGAACAAAAATTCAAAATTCTAAACAAAAACAGAAATAAATTTTATATGAAATTTAAAATGGGACTTTTACATACATTTGGCGTTCCAAATTAAGAATTTTAAAAGGATAAATTAAAGCTTTGGATGGCAATAGGATAAATTAGTTTATGAGTGAATCTTTGGAGTCAGAGCTTTATAACACTCAGAAGGGATATAGCTAACCTAAGATAGAAGGTTTGGATGTTAGGGCGTGAAATGACCTTAGCCGTTAAAATGCCCTTAAAAATTAATAATAATAACCTAAGTATATATGTGTATGATAAAAATGCAGCAGAAGGTGGTGAAAAGCCAAACCTGACAGATCAAAAAAGGCAAGAAAAGCTGACCAAAATGATTACGAAAAAAAAGATTGGGAAAAAATCAATAAATTCTATAATTATTTATACAGGGTAATTGAACAATATTGTAAAAAGGTCTGGTCGTTTGAATGATTATCCTCTAGTGAACAAGTAAAGTATAACAAATACGTACCAGTGTCAAGAAGTTAGTTATGTCGTATACAACATTGAACAAGACGATCCAACAGTCATTCATAGAATCATGGAGAGACACTTCACTCATGGTTATTATTCTATTGTTGTGGCGTTGTTCCAAATTTGTCCATTTGGGGGCAAATAAATTTCTTAGTGACCACATTTCTGAAAATAATTTAAAATCGTATTGTATTGATTTTTAAAAAAAATTTTAAAGTTTTTTTTTAAATAAGTAAAATGCTAGTTTATTTCACAGTTTTATTTTTCCTCTTGTTTCAGGCATTTGTTAAGCCCATCATCAGGAAACTTGCAGTCTCACCTACTATCACATTGTGTTTTTTTATCATGTAAAGGAGCCTCCAATCATCTAACCTCAAAAAGGGCAATTACAAGAGGAAAGTGAGATTGAGACAATTAATTTACAAATAAATAATTTATTTTCATTTTTGTTTTTTGTGTTGCACTCGATAAATGAAATGACAGGTAATATAGAAATACAAGGCCTAGGCTTTTATAAAGAAATCTTAAAGTTACATTTATTTTGAAGTAACTTTTAACTTAACTATGTAATAATACTTTTGAGCCTAGATGGATGTTCATGAATTCTATAAATCATAATCTAGTAATATTTTTAGCTACAGTAGGAGGATTAGTTCTGAATTCCTATTTTTCTCCCTAAAACAATCTTAGAGATGAATCAAGTGATAATAAAAGAGATGCTATTTACATTTTTTTTTTCACCACCAGCTTGGCCACAATATCTGAGTATAAAGAGATGAAATCAAATAAATAAATTTTCAATAATTTTACACATTTAAATTCTTTCTCGTTTACAAATTTTCTCCAGTTTCAGGGGCAAAGACTTTTCAAGTTCAAGGCCCCTCCGTATCCGACGTTATCTTTCATTATCCTGTTGTTTAAATAAGAATATTTTCTTGTTATCGCAGCGTGGTCAGATTACGTTTATGGGCATTGTGTGTCAACAAGTTGTTGTTATGACCACCCAATTTGCTCATCCAGTCATGCCACAAGACCTACTGGGCAAGAAATAAAGTAAACATTTTTTTTTTTTTTTTTTTTTGTAAATGTGTCAATTGTCATTGTACATACTATGAAGTCTGAAAAGAGTTTTTTTTCTCATTCATGTTTTTAACCATGTCACAGATGTTCTTTGCAACCATGATGAGCACAGATGTACCATGAAACAGATGAATTATGCAATATTATTCCCAATTTAAATGTGTCCTAAATCTCAGTGTAAATGACGTAGGTGTTTCATTTGATTTTTCCCCCTGTTTAATTTATGTCGTAAATGTTTTAAAATAATATAAATAAGATTACTGAAAATATATTTAATGTTCCTGTATTAAACAATAATTGATATCAGAAAGTTAAATTGCTATTTTATTCACTGAAATGTATATTTTTACTGAGTTACTTGGGGAGGGAGAGAGGGAGGGATGGAGAGAGAGAGAAAGACAAAAATTTAGTTAATGTGGGAAACATAAGACAATTAAAAACCAAACAGAAACCTTTGACTTTAATAGGGATTTAATGGAAGTCCAATTGAATTCCCAACCCTTATTCAAAAGTACTTAGGTGAATAATGACTTTGTAAAAACAACTTAAATTTGAGAGAAAGTTAAGAAGTGATACTGTGATAACAATGATAAAAATTTATGTGATAAGAGTGCAAATTCACTAAAATATTTATTATATCATTTATTGGTCGCATGAATAAATCATAAAGAAAAATAAGGTTTCATAAAATTTTACACAAACCAAATCATGTTGAATTGTATATTATATATTGGCCAAGCTATGGAAATATGGAACACATGAAATAAAAAAAATAAAAATTAAAAAATGAATATTTATACACTGTCTTAAGTAGAAAAATAATATATCCAAATTTATTAAATAAATATTAAATTTTTATTGAATTGAATCTTGTAAAGGTTTTCGTAAAAAATTTGACTATTTTTGACAAAGCACTTTATACTACGTGTTTTTTCAACTAAACACCACAGCAAAAGTATTAATTCATCAACTTTGAAAAATTAATTAGTCTATATATTTAACATAATCCAAAACATATAAATATTTAAATTAATCACTTAGGAAAATTTTCTTTTCAAATGGAACACCATAACAAATAGGATTTTTAAAATCCGCGTAATTACATGGGATAAAAATCCTGTGGAAACTTTAAGGTGTTCTAATCCTATTTCATGTCTAGAAGTACGCTTGTTTTTAATACTCTTTTGAAATATATTACGTACTATGTATATATACGGAGAGAGGGAGGGAGAGAGAGAGAGAGAGAGAGAGAGAGAGAGAGAGAGAGAGAGAGAGAAAGGGAGAGAGAGAGAGAGAGAGAGAGAGAAAAAAGAAAAAAAGGGAGAGAGAGAGAGAAAGAGAAAGAGAAAGAGAAAGAGAGAGAGAGAGAGAGAGAGAGAGAGAGAGAGAGAGAGAGAGAGAGAGAGAATGCGTTGTAATTTGACATTTAACCATTTTTTATTAATTAGATTTAGCAGACTCGCTGACAACATCAGAACGATGAAAAAGATCGGAAACATTAAACCATTATATGTTAATTAGTCTTTCCAAAAATTTAAGTTTAACCAAATTTAAACTTTAAAATTAAATGAAAAAGCAATTAAAAGGAAGGACTAGGAAACTGCATTTCACACAAAATTTTCTCCAAAGTAAACATTTATAATATAGTTGTTGAAAATTATTACTCAAACCATTGTTGCGTTCAAAAAATGAAGGTGAATTGTGTTAATACGTAAAATTAGCTCAATGTAAAGAAAAAGCTTTAAAATTAACTTACTATTATTTTTATTGTAAACAAAGGAAAATGGTCTGATTTTAGAGAGCAGTCGGCTGTCCTGCAGTCGGGGTGGACGTCGGCAGAGTACTGAGACAACATTAAAAGCATTGACTGATGTTATTTCTTTTTCCCCACTCTTTCCATAGGAAACGGGGTTATTTAATGCTTGTAAAGTAATAGCTGTTTTCTTTCTTTCATCTCTTTTTGTCTTTTTGTTCTGTCCAATGGAAATTTCAATTTTGCTCAGTTGTCTGTTTATTTACTTTTTTAAAGGGTGACTGCGCAAAATATGTTTTCATTTCTTCTTTTCCATTTAAAAAAATTTAACTTGCGATGTATCTATAATTTTGCACTTTTCTATATAAAATTGATTATTGAATATTTAGTTATCGTAGTTAGATTTCGCAACGTCAGGGAATTAAGTAGGATGAGGCAAAATGCTGGCGTTTCTATCTATTTTATCCGTGCAATAGATGCAAACCATGTGGAGAAGTGTTCTGTTGTTAATAAACTCTTCAACTTTTTAATTTGACCTCCTGCTCTTGGTACTTTTCAACACTTTCAAAACTTAGGCAGATGTCACACGTTACGGATTAAGCAGGGTGAACACACGCAACACGCTGGTGTTTTACAATGCTGCATTTGTTTTGTTGTTGTTGTTAATTTCTAAAGAATCGTTGAATTGTTAATATAGCTCCACAGTTATAATTTTACGGACTCGTAGTTTCTAAACTCCCTTTCAAAGATGAACAATTTACCCGAAAAGACTACTCAAATTTCAGGGTGAGAAAACAGCTGACTTTTTATCTATTTTATTTTCTACTATTTTATCCGTGCTATAGTGCAAACCAAGTGCAGAAGTGTACTTTTGTTAATAAACTATCAACTTTTAATTTCACCTTCTGGTCCTGATGCTTTTCAAAACGCACTTATTTAGATCGTAGGTGTTGGTGTTTTATAATACTGCAAATTTTTTTAATCAGCATTGAATAGTTAATAAAGTTCCACATCGTAATTTACCTCTTCTTGAGACCTCTTCTACCTCTTAAGACCTTTAAAAAATGAACAATTTACCGGAAAAAACAGGTAGGCAGATTTCTAGACAAGGAATTAGTAGACGGAGGCAATCAGTTACCGTCTTACATTCTTGCGAATTTTAATTCTGTGCCTAACTAAAAAGAAGAGCAGTAGCTTTGAATTGTTATTAAAGCTTTCTTGCTATTTTTGTCGAGTCGTTGTTGAACCAAAAAATCGTAGTTAAATGATGCGACGTTAGAGAAATAAGCAAGGTAAAGTAACACTATGAAAATTATTCTCCTCTTCTTCATTTTTGGTTGTTAATTTATTTAAGTTGTTTTTTTAACTCACAACCATTTCATCCAAATCCATTGGTTGTGATTTCTTTAAAATAACCTTAAAAACAACTCTGAAGATTAGTCTGCGTGCCAAATACACACTCTCATCAGTAAATTTGATCGTCTTAGTTTTAAAAATCTTTTCAAAGATGTAAAATTGTTGCGGAAAGACCTTAGCTAGATGTCTAGATGTAAGAGAAATAATTCAGGTGAGGTACGACGTATTAGGGATATAAACACGGAGTGGCAACACTCTGACGCCTTGCATCTGAAAACTTAGCCTGAATGTAAAAGCACTCTCTCGTCGTTCATTTTACCTCCTCAGAAGTTTCAGTGTTAGCTTCTCAGTAGTTTTCAAAGTTTTCTCTTAAAAATGTATAATTGGCTCGAGAAAAGCCGTAGTCATATTCACTAGGTTAGGGTTGTGGAGTACTCGATATTCCTCCATCAACTTTTACACCTATTATATAACTAACTTAATTGAGGGTCGATGGGGAAAGTATTCTTTCATCGGCTCTCACCCCAATAAATACATTCACTCTCAACACTCACTACGGCATATATCACTATCAGTATTATATACAATGAAACAACCCTCTTTCTTCCAAGTTCGGAACAGGGGGCCTTGCTCAAACACAATTCTCATGTCGGATGAGATTCCTACATGCCAAAGAGTGGCATCCTTCAATTTTATGTACACATCGAGCAACTGTTCTCTACACGCCGGACTCATACGCAGGCTTTGGTACAAAAGTTCATAAATTCCTTTGGGTCTTCCTGGCATGGCCTACTCTTAATCGAGTGTGTCCCTTTTTCTACGAGTTAGATCCTCCGAGGGCCATCCATTGATAGTGATCTTGATACCTGACAGCTTCTCTACCGATCTGGTCTACAGACAATGATACTTTCTTTTAATCATGTTTTTACGGTATTTTCACCGTCAGAGGGCCGAATCCCGGTGTTAAGTCCGGAGATTGGAGCGTCCGGCCTTAGCTAATTCGTCCGCCTTTGTTTAAATGTTGACGTTACAAAAGATTAAATTAAATGTACACATCAATTTTAATTTTAAATTTAATTTAATCCTATTCGATTACTTTATTTGATACAAACATTGCCGTACACTTTGGAGCAATCTGTTTAATAAATTAAGGTTTCTGCTGAAGACTGCATAGAAAGTCGAAAGCTCCAGCAAGTGAAAAAAAGTGTGATTTTCCATAAAAAGGACCTCAACATTAATTTTAATAAATCAAAAAAATTGAGTGATCGAAGATAGAGACGAAATAATAACAATTATTTGTAAAAGTTTATATTATTAAGCATTTTTAACGTTAAGCTATCAGTTACATAATAGACTTATTCGCCTGATATTTTTATAGATGAGCGGTGGAATAGAAAATCCTTCTATCTACAATGATATAATCAGATTGACCCTACTTTATGATCATATCTTGGAAAGTGCACTGTCCTAGGAGTTCACTATTTACTTCAGGCGTTTTTATTGCCGGTATTCACGATGACATGCATCAACCGATAAAGGCTACTTCTTCCTTTTATTATCCTAATCAGTTGGTTTCATTAATATACAAGTTCTACATTTCACAAAGTAAATGGCCTAGTTGAATTGTAAACAATTAAAAAAACGTTGAACACATTGTGCTGATTTTCTCTAGTTTATTCCGGTTCTATAGGCGGCTTTCGGGAACAAATCTCATCTTAGAAATAAACCAATTAAACCAGTATTATCTTATTACCTATTTGAAAAATTCAAATGAGGCGTAAAAACTCCATGTTTTCGTATTTTTTCGTGAATGCATAAAAATCGTAAATATTTATCATTATCACCTGATATCGTTTTCACACGCAAAAAAAATTGTTTATTTCAGTTGAAAGTGGAACATGATCTGTTATGTATGACAGATTAAAATCATAATTCGATGGCCGCGAGAGCCAATCTGGTCCAGGACGCTTGAGATCAAAATGCCAATCTCAACGAGGTAGTAGGCCAGGGAAAGTGTGCAAATATTTACAATAAGAATGTTCTTCGTGTTTTCTACTTGTAAACAGGGCAAAACTCTTATCTATTAAAGTCAATTGTTTAATCGTTTTAATTCATGACGCGTGTTGTATACAGAAGTCGTCACAAGGGAAGAACAGTTCCAATTTGTTCCTTAATTACTTTTAAATTTGGCACGTAATTGGGCTTAATTTTGAAAGGGGATTTGCTAAGCACTAACATTTCACTAATTGATGGCAATTTGTTTTGAGATCAAATTTTATTTTCAGAGTTTATATACGATTGTTTGAGCTTAACGCGGTTACATAAACTTGTAATATACCATTTATTAGGAGTTTTTATTATTTATTTTAATTATTTTTTTAATCAAATAAGACTTCTTTAATTTTTGTTGTTATTTCAGTGTCTATAGTTCTAACGATTCATAATAAAACCTATGTAATTAAAATAAATAAACTTAAATTAATGAACTGGGTCGTCTCGTTGGCTGTGGCTAGTACACAGGTCTTGCCACTAGACAAGTGAATTATGCTTTGAGCAACGCAGCAAGTATTTGGGTCCCTGTTCCGATTCATGAACCAATAACGCTATCACAAAAACAAAAATACATGTTTAATATGTTTTAGTCTAGTTTCAAATTTTTATCTTTTTTTTGGAAAAAGTATACAGGGTATTTCAGGCCCAATTCAACTTCAAAATTTCAAATACGACCCTATACATCCTGACATATCATTTTAAAGGATGTTTTACGCTGAAAACATTGGTGCAATCGGATTTTAAATTAGTCAAAAAAGACAGTTATGGCTAAAAGCATGAAAAAACGCATTACGTTATTTCGTTGTTAATTCTATATAATAATTTGGTTCTTCACAAAAGTAAACATTTATTGCCTTTATTGTTCACATTCTGTCATTGTTTGTCAAACTCGCATTATGAAAGTACCTCTTATTTCCTGGAAGTAAATAAATTTTACAATAGTTCCTATTCGTTACATTCAGTATTCAATTTAAAATGAACCGAAGAGTATATTTTGCCGTTCAACAGCGAGTTGATATGTGGAAATGCTTTATTGATAGTTAGTGCACGTCGTGAAGTCGAGATGTACTCCCAGAAATTTCCTGATCGCCCCAGAATAAACCCACAACATTTATTTTATTCGTGTTGCTGGCGGAGGAGATTCGGCAGCGTAATTTCGATTAGGAGCTGAATATTTTACTGTATCCTTTCTCCAAAATGTTGGGAGGGTCGTAGGTTTTTCAAAAAATAAAATTAGAGCTGGACTCCGGACTTAGAATTTTAAGCTGTATCACTCTCATCTTGTCCAGGGACTTCGGTCTCTGATTATGACAGTCTAGCGTTCCTTGCACAAATGTCGATTTGGGTGGTTGAAGAAAACGTTATACCTTACATCATGTTTCCATACATCCAAGTTCACCTCTAATGGCATATTAAACCGTTGGAATTTTCGAGCATGGGCAGAGGAAAATCCGAGATTTCGTACTCTTGTCATCATCAGCTAGTACACAGTATCAACGTTTGGTGTGTACGTCTCGGAAATAAATTCATTGGACCTTATTTCTACGAAAATAATTTAAATGTTGCTCAGTTCCTTAATTCTTTGAGGGAGGTTTTACCAACATTATTAAATGATGTTCCTCCGCAACAACGAGAAAGATTCTCCATTGTAGGTGCGACGTTATTTGAATCGTTACTTC